CCGCCCGTCCCCCCGCACGTGCTCTGCCCGCCACCTGCCGCCCACACCCCACTCCCTGTGTCTCCTTGTGTCCGTGTTTCCGGGATGTGGTTTCCTACCAGCAGTGCAGTTTCTAATCAGAAAATGCCCTGATCTCAGGTTTGATAGTAAACTCAGCCCTTCCCTTCCACGAGGGCGCAGTGGCAGGGGCTCTCTGGGTTGCCCCCTTCCTTTGTTCGTTTCCATCCCTTCAGGGGAAACGGTCTGGTCTCGGTGCTCAGAGAGGAGCTTGGGTGAGACCTGCCTGTCCCCTGTTCCAAAGAGCGGTCCTGTGAGGATCACACAGCCCGGGGATGGGGGAGGCAGGAGCCGTCAGCTCCACAACCCGGGCCTCTTCTTCCCACGCCCTGCACTTGCCCTTTGCTTTCCTGTCACAGGACACTTGGCCTGGTGCTGTTTTCCTACGGGTCACTTCTTAGGGATTTGTCTCTAGGAATCTGTCCTAAGGGATACATAGAGCTGCAGAGGGTTTTCTAGGGAGATGCTCGGTGGGAGGTTTTTTGTAACAGCAGAATGTGGAAGCTGCTTACAGAGCCTCCTATAGGAGGCCTGGCGCCATGGTGCCGGCGGCTCCAGGACAGGTGACCTGAGCTGCCAGAGCTGTGGCCTGAAATAAGGTTGCGACTTAAGAAAATGCCGGTAAGCAAAGAGGACCATGGAGTGACTTTGGCAGGACGTGCAGGCGTGCAGCGAGGCGTGCCAGGCTGTGACTGCTGCTGGCTCTCGCTGTGGGGGACCAGAGGCGGCTCCTAGTCCCTCCTTCCCCCTGCCTTTTATGTTTTCTAGCGGTACATGTGTGTTGTGTTACAATCAGACGACACCAATGAAAACAGCCACCGGGGAGACGTGGCGGTGTGGACCCCCTCGCAGGTCCTGAGGGCTGCGGGGTTGTGGTTTCCCCTCCCCGTAGTCCGGACAAAAGCTGGTGTTTGCCGTGTCCAGCTGCACGTGGACACACCGTTACGTCTGCAGGTGGCTGAGGGAGGAAATTGGCTTTTTGTAGTTTGCAATGATTTTTTATTCCCCTGGTATTTTCCTAACTCTCTAGCTCTCGAAAATACTACTCACAGGTCCCTGTTTCTTTGAAGGGAGGGATTTGTGAGCAGAAAGGGAGGTGCCAGTCTGGCCTTGAGGGGAGGCTCCCACCAGGGGAGGTGACTGACCCCCAGCCTCATGCTGCAACCAAGCCGAGTGTCCCCTCGCCCAGCCGTCTCCCCAGGCCACTCTGCCCTGAGCCCTGCATGCACTTGTCTGGGCTTGCTCTCTGAGCCCCTCCCCTGTGCCAGCATCACGAAGCCTGGCCACAAAGTAACAGGCCTTTTTTTGACTTTCCTTTCTTCTACTGTGACCGCAGCAGGATTAACACTGTGTTTCCAAAGGACTTGAGAACACTAGGTTTCGGTTTTTCAGAAGGAGCACTCTGTTTTGGATTGCATCATGGGAGGTGACCGTGTGGGCCCCTCAGGACAGGCCAGACCTGAACAGAGCTCCACGTCCGTCCTGGCCCCGTCTGCTTTCCCAGGGATGGAGGGATGGTGCACTTAGAAGATGCTTCAGGACCTTTCTCAGCTCGGGCGCTGGTGGCAGCCTGGCCCATTCAGGCCACAGCCGACCTCTAGGGTGGGCGGTCAGAGCTGTGCAGGAGCTCACGTGACGGTGTCACGTGATGGATTTGCCACCTGGGGCCCATTTCTGGAGTTTCACAGGTGCCTGGGGCACTGCCCTGCAGCTTGACAGGCTCTCATTCTGTCCCCAGACCTTGGGAGCCACCTGCCTTCCCTGGGTGGATGGCACATGATCGTCCCCTCAGCCTCTGGGCATGGCTTAGTTCCAGGCACTGCCAGCCTCAGCTGAGCAGAGCCTCCCCTCCACCTGCCGTTCTAGCTCCCCACAGCGCCTGGCAGAACCCAGCTTACCACATCCTTCCTCAAGGTACCCTGGAAAGTGCATCCCACATTCTCTTGTCCTACTTTTTTTTGAGGTGGAAGCGAAGTGTCCACTGTGAGGACTTTGTACAGTGCACCGCCAGCTCAGGGCCTAGGACATTCCACCTGGAAGGCTCCCCCAGCCCTCCCCAGGACTCTACCCCCCAGCACGGTGGCTGTCTGGGCTCTGTGCCCCTTGGGGACACGGCACAGGTATCCCAGGCTGATGCAGCTTGGGTGTCAGCCAGTGTGGGTCCAGGCCACCCTCTGACCCTCAGCAGGCCTTGTGTAACAAGGTGGGCAGGTTTTGGTTGTAAACAAAGCAGGCTGTTCCACTTTGGGGACTGTGGTTAGGTCCCTGGGGGCAGGAAGGGCAGGGGCCTACCTTCGTTGTCCACTCTGGCCAAGTGCTTGTCCCCAGAGATCAGGCATGTTTTCCCCAGCAAGTGTGCCTTCCCATTAAGGTGCCTTTTCAAAAGCCTAGGCGTGTCCAGCCTCGCGCACCTGTAATTGGGTCGGGTCAGTCCTTCAAAGCTGCCTTTTAGAAGTAATCTGAGAGGCCAAGGCCGGCTGTGCCCTTCAGCAGGACTGAGGATCCCAGCCGTGGGGCGGAGAGCCAGCTCTGGGCTGGCTTGTCACGGGGCCGCTCATTCTGAGGCTGAGCCTGGCTGTGCAGGAGCCCTGATGTGGGCCTGGGGGGCTCCGGGTTGTGGAGGGCTCCGCTAGCTCGTGTTGTGTTTCTATTGATTGTTTCGTACGTTAACTAAAACCGTGAAACGGAAGCGGGCTGTCTGCCTGGCTTAGCGGTCACTCGTGCGTTCTCACTTCTACCCACCCAGAAGCTCCCAAGGACGTTCTCTGCCCACCCTGCTTGCAGAGTTCAGACCCATAAACACTTCTATTATCTGCGCCTAAAACACAGGCAAGTCCAGCCTCCGTGGGTGGGAAGGGCGTGGCTCATCCCCTCTGAGCAGGGCAGGCCCAGGCCCAGCATGGAAAGGGGCTGCTGAGTTGTTCTGAATCCCCCCGATTGTTCCTGCCTTGTCTCCCAGGCCACCAGACCTGCAGTCCCCGACCTGGGCTGCCCTCTTCTGAGTTGTTTTCCCCAGGGTCTTGGCATTGGTGGGACAGTGGGACGCCACTGCAGCCCTGCCAGGCCCCTGTGTGGGGGACGTTCCCATCCATTGACTGAGAAGCCCCTCCCGTTTCCTTCCGTGTTTCGGCGCTGCGCTCTCCCTCCTTGGGATCAACTGGTGCCACCCCTTCCTGGCAGGGCTGTGGGAGCCCCTGATGGCAGCCTGTAGTTGTCATTCACAGGAAGTGCTTTCAAGTCAAATCTCCCTCCTCTTCGTATTCACCTCAATTTGAGACATTTTACTGTTAAAACGTTGTATTGGGGACTGTCCCTTCAGCCATCGTGTCCCCTGACCATAGCTGCTGTCCCCAGTCTGGGCTGGGGGCCTTTGGCAGTGGCTCCAGGCTGGCCGGGCAGGCTCAGCTGGTTTGCTCAGCTGTGGAGGGGTCTTTCAGAATGACAGAAGACGTTTCTGCTGCTCCTGCATGGTTATCCCATGGCGGACAGTGCCTCTGGCCATTTCTGTGCTTGGGAGGGACGTCCTCGTGGGTGGGTCTTGTTTGAGCTTCCTCAGTGTCTCCTGATGACGTTCTCACACCGGGTTGAGGCGCTGTGGGCTTCTGCCCAGGGTTGATCTTAACCTACGGCTGTTGTAGTTCACAGGGCAGCCACCGGCTCATCCCTTCCTGTCCCAGAGCTTCCCTGGGGTGTGGGGTCTGAGGACCTTGAGCTGCCGCCGTGGGGAACGTTGCAGGCACACTGCCCTCGCTGTCTGTCTTGTTTCCATAACCTTTCTTGCTGAACCGTCTCTTCTCGGGAGGAGGGAGTGGAGCCAGCCTCCACCGCTGTGCTCTGTTGGTGATGGGGTTCTGCTCCCCCCAAAAGCCACCTGCACTGGATTCTCCACACCTCAGTTTGTTCTGAGCTGTGGTCTTGCTTTGGCCGTTTCCTCCACTGCAGCTCGTGGCTGTCGGCGGATCCTCTCCATTTCCTCCTGTTCCCGGCACCTCCTTGCCTCCGATCCCCCTCGCCCCCCGTCCCCAGGCCTGAGTGTAGTCCAAGGGAAGGGCTCCGTGTCCCAGCCACTGTGCGGTGCATGCACGAGCCTCCCTGGAACACGTGTGCTTTGCTGTCTTCCAGACCCCACGCATGGGCACCTTCATCGGCGTCTACCTGCCCTGCCTGCAGAACATCCTAGGTGTGATCCTCTTCCTGCGCCTGACGTGGATTGTGGGGGCGGCAGGCGTGCTCGAGTCCTTCCTCATCGTGTCCATGTGCTGCACCTGCGTGAGTGGGGGCCTTGCCCTGGGGACTCGGGACAGCCAGACGGACATTGGGGACCCTGCGAATCTGGAAAACTGCAGGCTCTCGGGGGCTGCTCTGGAACCCCTGGGATTGCCCTGCAGACCTGTCTCAGGGTGCGCCACCTAGGTGGCACGGCTGGTCGGGTGAGGTCGGATTATTGATCAGCTGATGGAATCTTATTTAGCTGCATCTGCAGAATTGCATTTTAGCTTCCGGTGGTGGACATCATGTGCATATCTGGTGGCCAAGGGCTTCAGTGGGGTGTCGCCACTCGGTGGGGTCCTGCATTTTGACAAGATCACCTCCCAGTTTGGAAGGATCTCAGGCATCTTCGGGGGTCCCCTTGTGCAGAAAGGAACACAGTGGTTCTGTTCCTCATTCACCCCAGTCCTGGGGTGGGGTGGTGCAGCTGGCCGGAGCTGCTGGTGCTGGCGGCTCTCTGGCAGGCCACCCGCCCGGCCCCCCGTGCTTGGCCGTCATCTTCATTTGACGTGGATTCTCTCCTTTGTCACTGTTTTCTTGCATCTGGTTTACCCTTTAAATGTTCCTGGGAGCTTCCTTCAACCACCAGCTTTTTCTTTTTCCCTCTGCTCTTTTTCTGGTTTTGGTGGCTGGCTGTTACAGGGAGCAGACCCCAGGCCGTGGAGCTACCAGCACCATGCTCTGACCAGCTGAACTTTTTTCTTGTTAATAGGGATGCAGTTTAGCTGTTTTAACTGCCCAAGTGTTAGCTGAGACATTCTGTCTGGGAAGCATTCAGGCGGGGCAGGAGCCCTGGCCCCTCTGCAGGACACCCCTCACCTTCAGGTGGTGGCCAGGGCCCTTCCTGAGCAGAAGGCCCATCCTGGACTCACTCTGGATGCTCTCCAGTGCCCTCAGGGGAGGTGGGCGCCTGGGTGGAGCCAGTCTTTCAAGTTGGGGCTTTCTGGAGCCTGCAGGAGCTCAGCTCTGTGTGTTGGGTAGGAAAGGGCTGAGAACCAGGAGGGCTGTGCACCCGGGCGTCCCTGGAGCCTCTCGTGAACGCAGCAGCTCCTTTGAGATGGAGGGGCCAGGTCACAGGCACCCCCAGAGCTCGTGTGGACTGGCTTTGGAAATGTCCTTTCTCCTCAACAGTCACCCATCTTTTTGCAGACGATGCTCACCGCCATCTCCATGAGTGCGATTGCCACCAATGGTGTGGTCCCAGGTAAGGGATGCCACCGCCACACGGCCTTCTCTACAGTGCAGTCACTGAGCCACAGCACTGTGGGTGACAGCAACCTTGACATTAACCCTCCACCCTTCACCGAGGCCAGAGCAGGGCCCAGGCCCTTCCAGAGCGGCTTGCCCGGCTGCCCGCAGGGTGACCCCCTCTCAACACTGCTGCTCTGTCTCCTGACATGGGGACAGGGCTGGTGCCCCTGGTCTCCTGGGGCTTCTTCCCACAACCCTCCGTGGGCACAGCCGGGCTGTCCTCGAGCCTGGTGGAGTAGGTGCTGCGACTCTTCCCACAGCGGATGCCTGCAGGTTCAGAGGCCACTGTTGGTTGGATTCTTTTTGGCATGGGGACTTCAGCAAATGCTCTGGAAGATGCTGTGCCAGTCTGGTTTACACCTTGGACCTCTGCACAGAGGGGCTGGTGTTCATCATGGACAGTGAGGACTTCCTTTTGGTCCTGAATTTTAATTTTCATCGACCATCGTGCTCTCTAAGTCAAGTCATTCTTAGACTGAATGTGCACGCTGGCGGTAGCTGTCCCTGTGCTACCGGCAGCCTCCTGGTCATGTTCTCTGCCACCTCTTCAGCGTCTGAGCCTGAGAACCCACGGCCGTTCGCAGTTCTCCCGTTCTGCCACACAGGCACCCTTCTGCTTGCTGGGGTGGGGGCACCCGTGGGCAGAGGCCTTGGTGGGGGAGGAAGCGCGTCTATGGCTACCCGGAGCCCAGTTCGTCCCTTAGGCTGTGTTCTCTGAACACTTACCCCATGAGAACAGGTGAAGACGGAATGCTGTCGTTTACTTAAAGTCGTCAATAATGAGTTAGCAGGAGACAGTGGTTAATTTGCACCTGATCTGCATGTGCATGGATGGGCTAGGCTTGGTGTGCACCCAAGTCCCCGGCAGCTGTCTCTAGTCCCCAGACGTTCGGCCACTGAGCTTGCCGCAGTGATGCGCCTGCCTGCCAGGCGACCTTGGTGCAGGGATGGGAGCATGAGGGGGCCTGGCTGTTGGGCTGTGGAGACCACCTCTGCTGCTTTGTGACTGTGCCCGGGAGAGCCCCTTCCTCAGTGCTCAGCCCTGCTGGAAGGCGGCACCAGGCGCTCTGCCCGGCAGAGGGTGGGCAGCACATCCCAGATGTGCCCAGTGAGCTGCCCCAGCATGCTGGTCAGTGTGCGAGCACCACATTGGCCCACAGACAGACTGCAGGGCCGGGTGTCCAGTGTGCAAAAAGGTCTCTTCACGTGTGACACAGGACACATCAAACGTTAATGGAATTGGCGTGTTGGGCCTGATGTTGAGACAGGGGACCTTTTAGCGGAGCTGCTCTGGGGCCCGTGCGTTCCTGCTTGTGGTGGTTTTACTCTCTGTCCTTACTTAGCCGCAGTGTCCACTGGGGAGCTGCCACAGTGGGGCGGGTGCCCACTGACTCTCATGTGCCAGTCTGTCCTCTGAGATCTGAATTCACGGTAAATGGTGCATCTCTGATGTGTTGTTTTCGGTTTTGTTTTTGCAGCTGGAGGCTCGTACTACATGATATCCCGGTCTCTGGGGCCCGAGTTTGGAGGGGCCGTTGGCCTCTGCTTCTACCTGGGCACGACGTTTGCAGGGGCCATGTACATTTTGGGGACCATTGAGATTTTTCTGGTGAGTGCATTGTTTGGAATGGCTCCCTTGCCAAGGCCTTTGCCCACAGGTCCGTTACCCTGTGGTGTAACCAGCGCCCCTTTGAGTCGTCCATCACCCCGTGGCCCTGGATTCCTTGCTGCACTGGGCTCTCGAGCTGGTAGTGTCTGTCTCCTTGGCTTTGGGCTGTGGCCAGAGCTGCCGCATCCTCGTGGCCTCTCAGGGGTGAGCACCTGGCACATGCTGAGTAGGTAACGTCTGGGCCTCAGGTCTGAGCCCGGGGTGGGCGTGCGGCCTCCACGGTCTGAGCTGTTTTGGGAGGCAGGACAGGAACAGACAGAGAGAGCGCCCCTCAGCCAGGATCTCTGAGTGGCTCTTCCTTGTTGGCTGCAAACATTCAGGCCCCTGTGCAGAAGGTTCCCCGAGACCTAAAACTGAAGTGTTTGTACTCAGTTGGCTGGTGCATGTTCAAGCGGAAGTGTCCTGGTCTGCCACCTCCTCTGGTGGCACATGGTCACTTTAGACCTTCTGAGTCCTATAGAGCTTGCCCATCCCACTTCTTGTGGAAAGCCCAAGAGAAGGTATCCTCTGGAAAGACACAGGCCCCCAATTCAGAGCCATGGGCAGTGGCTGGGCCCGTGGGCTTTGCTCGGGGAGGTTCAGGGATGCATTTGCCTGCTGGGCACTCAGGAGCCCACAGGTCTGCAGGTGGCGCTGACATGTGGGGGATCTCAGGGGCTCATGCGAGGACATTCTAACTCAGGGTTGGCTGGGGTGGAGATTCTGTGTTTTTAGTGAGTTCAGTGTGCCCCTGTGAGTCCTGGACCGACACTGAGCGACAGGGTTCTAGAGTGTTCATCTCCCTCCTGCTAGGTGTCCGTTGGGATGTGAGGAATCACCCCACATGCAGCTGCTTGGAACCACCCCCAGGCCACTGCTGTCCTGGAGGGCAGAGGCGCCACCTGGTGCTGGCAGAGACCTTGGGCTCGCCTGCAGCCTCCCCATGGCACCTCTCCCCCTGCTTGTTCCTGCAGACCTACATCTCCCCCAGTGCAGCGGTCTTCCAGGCAGAGGCTGTGGAAGGCGAGGCGGTCGAGGGCGAGGCGGTGGCCCTGCTGAACAACATGCGTGTGTACGGGACATGCACTCTGGCGCTCATGGCCCTGGTGGTCTTCGTGGGTGTCAAGTATGTCAACAAGCTGGCCCTGGTCTTCCTGGCCTGTGTGGTGCTGTCCATCCTGGCCATCTATGCCGGTGTCATCAAGACCGCCTTCGATCCCCCAGACATCCCGTGAGTCCTCGTCCCTCTGCCTGGCGGGGCTGTCCGCGTGTGTGGCCAGGCCCAGGCTCTAGGGTTCCTTGCCTTCCCGCCTCTGTCATCCCAGATGCTGGGCCCTTCTCTTGGCATGACGTGAGGTGACCTTGGGTGGCCACTCCTGGGCTCCGCGTGTGGTTGCTCTGAAGATCACGTGAAACCCAGCAGAGCATGGAGTGTGTCCCCGTGCCCCTGTAGCCAGGCCTGGGTGCATCTGAGGACAGGAGGTTTGAAGGACCCAGCATGTTCTGGGGCGGCCCACCTGCCACACCCATGTCCCAGCTCCCTGCAGCCTCACAGAAGCCCCTCGGTGGGTTCTTTTCTCACCCGTTGACCGATGAGGAGGTGGCAGGGAGCTGGTTTGTGTTTGGGCCCCACGGCTGCCCTAGGTGAGCCCACCACCCAGGAGCAGGTCTGAGGAGGGGCTGGGCACCCTGGGACAGGCTGGGTGGGGGGCCGGGGTGGCGCCAGCCCCCTCAAGGCTCCTGCACGTCACTGTCTCTGCATGCAGGCAACACCCCTGTTGACACCTGCCTTAGATAGGATGGCCCTGAGCGTCATAAATCCTGTTCATGGGGAAGTGGGCCCAGGGCCTGCGGCAACTGGCTTAGGCACTGACCCAGACGGGCTTGTGGAGTCTGACAAGCATCTGACAGCGGATCCCTCATGGTCAGCTGGGAGAAGCAAGAGAAATAATTCCAGGAGGAGCCACAGTCTCATGGCTCCCCGTTCCCGTGTCTAGGGTCTGTCTCCTGGGGAACCGCACGCTGTCAAAACGCAGCTTCGACGTCTGTTCCAAGATGCACGTTGTTGCCAACAACACGGTGACCACTGCGCTCTGGGGCCTCTTCTGCAACGGCTCCCGGCCCAGCGCCACCTGCGACGAGTACTTTGCACAGAATAACGTCACCGAGATCCAGGGCATCCCGGGTGTGGCCAGTGGTGTCTTCCTGGGTAGGTGTCTGGTGGGGTCTTGGTTGGGGGCTGGCCCCCATGGGCACGGTCACTGGAAGCCGCCGACAGGGCCCTGGTCTCCTTGCCTCTCCCGAGTCTCTGTGGGAACCCTCCCCAGGGCCGTGGAAGCCACACATGGTGTGTCGGGGGCAGCCTGTCGAGGCTGCAGTCGGTCATTTGTTTTCCCGGCTTAAGAGCAGAGCACGTGGGGAGCTTGCGGGGCCGTGGGGAGATGGTTAGCAGGGGAGACCAGGGTTTTCCCTTCTGTACCTTGTCCCAAGATGAAGACATTGTGCTGGGGTCTCCCCACCCCACAAGACAGGCCTGCCCTTTTAGGGAAAAGGAAAGATTCTGAGAACACCTGAGCGCGGGTCCCTGGTTACCTCCCCGAGTCAGGTCGGGACTCTGTGTGTCTCCTGAGGTGTGAAGTCACGGGTCCACGCTGGGGGCTGGCCCGGCCAGTGACAGGTGGGCAAGGAGGGGAGGACAAGAGCGTTGGGATCCTGATGCTCGAGGCCCTGCCTGAGACCACCACTGCTGAGCCCAGCCCCGACAGAGCAGGACCCCAGCGGGGGACGCAGAGCGGGCGGAAGAAGAGCGAGGGGTCTGGGGGGTTGGCTCTGTGGGGAGGGGTCTGGGGTGTGGTCTCTGGGGAGGGGTCTGGGGTGTGGTCTCTGTGGGGA